TACCCAGTAATGGGATTGCTGGGTCATATGGAATTTCTATTTCTAGGTCCTTGAGGAATCGCCACACTGTCTTCCACAATGGTTGAACTAATTTACACTGCCACCAACAGTGTAAAAGTGTTCCTATTTCTCCACATCCTCTACAGCATCTATTGTCTCCAGATTTTTTAATGATAGCCATTCTAACTGGCGTGATCAACAAAACAGACAGACCACTAGCCAGATTAATAAAAAAGAAAAGAGAGAATAACCAAATTGATGCAATAAAAAACAATAAAGGGGATATCACCACAGATTCCACAGAAATTCAAACCATCATCAGAGATTATTACAAATAACTCTATACACATAAACTAGTAATCCTGGAAGAAATGGATAAATTCCTGGACACTTGCCTCCTCCCAAGCCTAAACCAGGAAGAAGCCGAAACCCTGAACAGACCCATAACAAGGTCTGAACAAGAGCCTACCACCCAAAAAAAACCCAGGTCCAGATGGTTTCACAGCCGAATTCTACCATACAAAAAGGAGCTGGTACCATTCCTTCTGAACCTATTCCAAACAATACAAAAAGAGGGAATTCTTCCCAAATCATTTTATGAGACCAACATCATCCTGATTCCAAAGCCCGGCAGAGACCCAGCAAGAAAAGAAAACTTCAGGCCAATGTCCATGATGAACATAGATGCAAAAATCTTCAATAAAATACTGACAAGCCGATTGCAACAGCACATCAAAAAGCTTATCCACCATGATCAATGAGGCTTCATCCTCAGGATGCAAGGCTGGTTCAACATACGCAAGTCTATAAATGTAATGCACCACATAAACAGAACCAAAGACACAAACCACATGATTATCTCAACTGATGCAGAGAAGGCCTTTGACAAAATTCAACAGCCCTTTATGCTAAAAACCCTCAATAAGCTAGGTATTGACGGAACATATCTCAAAATAATAAAAGCTATTTATGACAAACCAACAGTCAATATCATACTGAATGGGCCAAAACTGGAAGCATTCCCCTTGAAATGTGGCACTAGACAAGAATGCCCTCTCTCACCACTCCTATTCAATATAGTACTAGAAGTTCTAGCCAGAGCAATCGGGCAAGAAAAAGAAATAAAGGATATTCAAATAGGAAAGGAGGAAGTCAAGTTGTCTCTATTTGCAGATGACATGATTGTATATCTAGAAGACCCCATCGTCTCAGCCCCAAATCTCCTGAAACTGATAAGCAAGTTCAGCAAAGTCTCAGGATACAAAATCAATGTGAAAAATCACATGGATTCCTATACACCAAAGAGAGCCAAAGCAAGAACAAACTTCCATTCACAATTGCCACAAAGAGAATAAAATACCTAGGAATACAACAAGGAATGTAAAGGACCTCTTCAAGGAGAACTACAAGCCACTGCTCAACGAAATAAGAGAGGACACAAACAGATGGAGAAACATTCCATGTTCATGGTTAGGAAGAATCAGTATCGTGAAAATGGCCACACTGCCCAAAGTAATTTACAGATTCAATGCTATCTCCATCAAGCTACCAATGACCTTCTTCACAGAACTGGAAAAAACCACCTTAAACTTCATATGGAACCAAAAGAGAGCCCACATAGCCAAGTCAATTCTAAGCAAAAAGAACAAAGCGGGAGGCATCACACTACCAGACTTCAAACTATACTACAAGGCTACAGTAATCAAAACATCATGGTACTGGTACCAAAACAGAGATATAGACCAATGGAACAGAACAGAGGCCTTGGAGGCAACACAACATATCTACAACCATCTGATCTTTCACAAACCAGACAAAAACAAGCAATGGGGAAAGGATTCCCTGTTTAATAAATGGTGTTGGGAAAAGTGGCTAGCCATGTGCAGAAAGCAGAAACTGGGCCCCTTCCTGACACCTTACACTAAAATTAACTCCAGATGGATTAAAGACTTTAACATAAGACCTAACACCATAAAAGCCCTAGAAGAAAATCTAGGCAAAACCATTCAGGACATAGGTGTAGGCAAGGACTTCATGACCAAAACACCAAAAGCAGTGACAAGAAAAGCCAATATAGACAAATGGGACCTAATCAAACTCCACAGCTTCTGCATGGCAAAAGAAACAGTCATTAGAGTGAATTGGCAACCAATCGATTGAGAAAAAATTTTTGCAGTTTACCCATCTGACAAAGGGCTGATATCCAAAATTTACAAAGAACTAAAACAGATTTACAAGAAATAAAACTAACAAGCCCATTCAAAACTGGGCAAAGGATATGAACAGATACTTTACAAAAGAAGACATACATGAGGCCAACATATGAAAAAATGCTCATCATCACTGGTCATCAGAGAAATGCAAATCAAAACAACATTGAGATACCATCTCACGCCATTTAGAATGACAATTTTTTAACTATTCAGAAATGACCCATGGGAAATTTGAAAGATAAACTTCCGTGCTTTATTCAGGCAATTACTAATAATTTATAGGAAAGTCAAATCATCAACATAACAGAAACATTGAAAAACCAAACGGAACAAAGCTTCCGAAAAGCTTATTACTTAAGAAGGGATGACCAAGCATATAAAGCTCAGAGAAGGGAGAGGTTCAAGTTAGGAATTAATTTAAAATTCAATTAAAATCTTACAAGCAAGGATTATAAACTTATAAACAAAATTATATAGTTTTTCCTGATTACTGGCTAAAGTGCATAAAAATCATTTATGGAATTTCCCATAATATGCACCAGAAAAGCAGAGGATAGTAAGTGGGATGCGTTTTAAAGTCAGACTAAGTTATAAACCAGCCATATAGAACTGGAGCTGTTGTAACTGCACACAAATGCAATAGTTGTCCAGATGTAGGACTGGCAGTCACAGAATAATGTGGTTCATTGTGAAAGTCCAATAATAATTTGATATTTTGTTGTAAACAGGTTTTCCATTGTTGCATGGTGCCCTTGTATGACACTTGTAATCCTTAAGGGCAAGCCCTTTAACTAAGCTACAGTAGGACATAAATGTCATTTCCTTCGGATTTCCTGCATTGAATCTGGTCTTTGACAGTCCTTTCAAAAGTTTCTGTTAGATCCCATGGAATGGCCTTACTTAGATTAATGCAGTTATAGCCAGGGATTATACATGGTAATAAAGGAATATAACTGTTTTCAACTATGGAAATAGTAAAATGAGTTTATTTAGAGAGCTAACAAGCTAGTGGCTATTTGTTGAAAGAAAAAGTTTATTTGTCTTATTAGTGAAATAGAGTCTCAAGCATTTAAAAATTATTTTAACTAGAGCCTATAAAAATAAAGGTCTCCTGAGGATTATCTGTAAAGACAGATTTTGGCAACAAGTAAAATAATGCCTTATATTCATTTTATGAGTTAATTTTGTGTAAAATTCTCTTTTTTCCAACTATTTTTTCCTGATGTGCCCTTTTTGTGTTCCCTTTCTACAGATAGATTAAAATGTCCTACTCTATATATTTTATTTTTGAAAAATCAAAGACTAAATTCATCTAAATCAGAAAGAAGTCTGTTGGTTTTAAAATTTATTTAAATAAAAATAAATTTAAATATTTAACTTGGCTGACACAGTCTTGTTAGGAGGTGATTAAGTAAACAATTTACTTAGAATAAAAATATCTCTTATTAAAACGGCATGGATTTCCAGGCCAGTAAGAAAAGAAAATATCTCTCTAACCCAGGAAAAGTATTTTGGTCTAAAAATCAAATATTCCAGATTTATTAAATATTACTCCACCCCAATTTCAAGTAGGGAGGTTTTACCACTGGATTTCTGGAAGCAACTGAAACACTTCTTAACTATAAATGTACACTCCTACCATGAAAGTAAAAAATACTCCAACGTAGTAAAATATTCCACAGTAGTAGGTGAAACTAGAAGTCCCACATCCTATAGGATAGTTTAGAAAGTCACTAGACCATAAATTTCATAAAAGTGAGGGTTATATATTTCATCATTGTCTCTCTAACAGCCAGCAGGGTGCCTGGAACAGAACCAGCTTAACAAACTGAAGTTATTAAAATGAAGTAATTAAAAATGCACCTTTACTTTTACAACTAATAGATTACAGAAATACAACTTTTCTTTAAGGACTATATATTTTAAGCTATAGAATTAGACTAAGTGATCGAGTGGCTAGAAAATGTTTCTGTAAAATACTAAAACAAATTGCTTCCTCTATTATTAAGTATTAAGCCTTAATTTCTTCTTTTTTTTAAGGCTTAATTTCTTGCCATCCCAATATTTAAGTCTGGGAGTGTGGTAAAGCTAAAAGCTGACTTCACAATGGGAAAAGTTCACAATACAAGCAGATAAGCCAACCCTAAGTTGTTCCCCGACTTTAAAGGCTGAGGGTCAATCCCCACGTTAGGGCTCAAGGACAAGC